GGAAGACTGTCTGTAAATTTCCAGCCTATGCAAACCAGTTCCCAGAGAGTATGTGTGTTGGTGGGGAAAATCAGAAGGTTTGAGGCAATTTGAAACAACTTGATGTGCTAGAATTGGAAGTGATCCTAACAAGTTGGGAGATGGGGTTAGCCATTGTGTGAAAAAACCTGAATTTCATTTTGGCGAAGGTGATACAGAAAGAAAAACAAAAAGTCTTCATATTCAAAACCAGATCCAAGAATTCTGCACCTATTTCTGTGGTTGGCAAATATTTTCATAGTCTCTTCATTCTTCCTTCTCTTCCTCCTTCTCCTCCTTTTATTATGTCTTTCTATTATAATAACCTGTAGCCTGCAGTATGTTACATACAGTACTACATAAGCAGATTTCTTGCAATGCATTCTAGTGAGAGTCATTGTTTTACCTATAAGACCACTTTCAAAAGTACTGCACAGCATAACAACAACAACAACAACAACAAAAATATGGAGAGTTAAAGTTGCAAAGAGACTTGGTTGAAAATGATAAGACAGAGGAGATATAGTATGAGAAGTTACAAATTATTGAATTCATATAAAAATGATCTTGTCTCATCTATTGATGAATTTGTTTTTCTATATGCCACACATTGTGTTAAGAGCCAAGTTACACATATCCATCTCAGCACACCTAAGAGGCAGGTGTGTTATCCTGGTATTAGAGATGAGGAAACTGAGGCTTAAAATAATTTGTTTATAGTCAGAGTATTCTCACAAAGGGTTCTATTGGAAGATAAAAGGAGTTAAAACATATACTACTTGAATTAGGCCAATCATTTGCGATGGAAATTCCTCAGACAAAGCGTGAATTCTACTCTATACAGGTAACTACGTTATGGACAATGACATAATCCAAGGCATGTTTATTCCAAAGTTCCAGTCAACATCTGGATTATTCAAGTTAATTACCAAAATTATACCTTTATAATGAGCTTCTTATCAATAAGATTTCAGTCTATGGGGTGATATCAAGAAGAAAAAAAAATCAGTATTATCAGGCACTACTACAGTTCCCTTTCTGTCTTTTCTTAAACATAACCAAGATATAACTAAGTCTAATTTTACTGTGTTTCTCTTCTTTCCACAGGTTCTCCTTAGAAAACAGAGCTTTATGGTTTGCTTTTTTTTTTTTTCCATATAATTTAAACATTTTAGTATAAACCACAAAGACTTCCATTTTACCAGACTGTGCTCTGGCAAGTCCAATAAATTTTTTTTACCTACAGTGTGCAGGCTGGAGAAGAGGTTTCTGTAGACCTCAAGTTTCCTACAAGCAAGATATTTCAGTATCTGTAAAAAGCTCATTTTTCTTCTCTGTCTTGTTATATTTAATTGTTGGGTATTTTCCATTTCCATGGTTAGAATGGATGCCAACTCCAAAATGTGGTCAATAAAACTTTGTTTATATTAATAAATTCGCCCAAATTCCATGGAAGATGAAAAAAACAATATCTGGGTCATATAGAAAATTTAAGGTGCTATGGTTTTTTCATATGTGCATGTGATATTAAATTACTCATCATATTTTTGACCTTTACTTCCACCTTTATACATATTAAAGGTTGCTTTCCTATTCTGGCAGAAATATGACTCTCATATAATTAGGAGAATTATTTGTGGAATCACTCAACTGTGTAGGAGACAAGAGATAGCTAATTTCTATCTCATTTTGTCTTTGATTATGAATTAGTTGGTAGAAAATTGCATTAGACCAATCTATATCAGAGAGGAGAGAGATCACAATAATTTCAAATTGAAAGATATGGCTGCAAGTTCCTTAGGAAATGCCAAATACTGAAACCATTAGAACCATCTCCCTTAAAGACCAAATTAAATAGGACAGAAATTCATTCATCAATTATGGATGTAAATATATTAGCTGTCTCAAAATTTTAACATTTTTCTGGTGGGCTGAAACTTGTAATTGATAATATTCTCCATGGAGAAACCTCAGCTACTGACCATTTTGAAGTCCATTTTAGGAGGAAAAAAAACAATTTTAAATATGACTACTCCATTTGATTCTATCTCTCCATGTTTCCAATATAAAATACATTTTAAAGTAAATAATGTTTAGTATTTTGATTTTTTGGTAGTTTTCGTGTTCTCTCCTCATTAGCAATGAATTGGCAACAGGCTCACAAAATATCCATCTATATATTTTCTATCTACCTACTTACTTATATACATCTACAACATATTTTATTTGACAAACTCTTTTCACTACTTTAATTGTTTCTGCATATTAAGAAGAGACAAATTTTTTTTTTCTATTTTCACAATAACTGTCTAGATGTCAAAGAAGTAGTGGCCTGTGGACCAAAACTCATGAATTTCTAATCTAGGAAAGGAAAATGGAGTATAAACTTTATGTATATATTCCAAAGACTTGTGTGTTCATGATTTATTCTATGAAGGAGATGTTAGATATTTGGACCCTAAATCCAAAATCACAGTGAATATGTCCTACTTCCCACAAGGCAGTTCTTGTTTATGATGTTTTTCAGACATAAATATAAAATACAAAATATGAAAAACCCCTTTCACTTTAAAAAGTATCCCTGTTGGAATAATAAATGATATGGTCTCTCTGTAAAACAAACAGAATTAAAAAAAAAAAAGAATTATGACATATAGAGTACTCTTTCTGTTCCAAGTTATTTTGCAATACCTGGTACCTGTTTGGTTGTGGTTTTTTAAAAAAAAAAATTATTTCACAAAACAAAGAAAATTTTAAACCCTGTAAGATACATTGAAATTGTAACTTCCATTTTCTAGTTTGAAAATAAAACAGATAATCCACATGACATTTAATATCCCAGTACAGGGTTTATTGAAATGTGTGATGAGGCAGAAGAAAGTTTTACTATCCACTAATTTCAAAAATTAGAGAAAACACATGAAATTCATTCACCATAGGATTAAATCTCCTCTTTAAAAGTGTTAGGGCATAATAAATATAGGCCAAAATTACACTTCTCTGGTACCCAATAATACCTTCTCATTCATCTAACACCTTACGTAATGCCTTCCAGGACTACACTTATAATAGGCATACCTTGGAATTATGGAATATACAGGAAACACCAGGGGGCTCATAATATTTGGGAGGGGAAAACATTTCTTCACAGAAAATTTTAAAGGTAGCACATTTATAAACAAAAATAATGATACTAATTAGCTCACAATCAAAATAAGCATGGACCACACTTATGTGCAGATTTTCAGTTCAGTTTGTGGTTTCTACTTCTTTCTTTTTCTATTTCAGCATCTTACAGGGGTACAAATATTTAGGTTACATATATTGCCTTTGCCCCACCCAAGTCAGAGCTTCAAGTGTATCCATCCCCCAGATAGTGCACAGCACACCCATTCGGTGTGAATACACCCATAGCCTCCTCCCCCTCCCACCTCCCAACACCCGATAAATGTTATTACTATAGGTGCACATAAGTGTTCGTCAGTTAATACCAATTTGATGGTAAGTACATGTGGTGCTTGTTTTTCCATTCTTGGGATACTTCACTTAGTAGAATGGGTTCCAGCTCTATCGAGGATAATATAAGAGGTGCTAGATCACCATTGTTTTTTGTGGCTGAGTAGAACTCCATGGTATACACACACCACGTTTTATTAATGCACTCATGTAGTGATGGGCATGCTTTTGTGACACACATATCCATGTGATTTCCATAAAAAAAAAAATTGGCAGCACTAACAGAGAGACAAAGAGAATGTGCTTAGATTAGAGTTCTTAATTGGAGGTGACTAACAAATTAATACTCCATTACTGAGAAGAAAGAACAGGGTGTTGTCTCCTTAGTGTTGATAATAGTGGAAGTCGGCTAAATGAGTAACATCTATATAACGCCTTTCTCATTTCCTTTTCTGTGATGCATCCACATTTACAAAGCATCCCCAAAGAACTAAGTAGCATTATGTTAAAAAGCAAGGCTATAATATATTTAACACAAGACATAATATGTTATTTTATGTCATAAAGGAAGTTTTATCAAAATTCACTATCTCCTTTAAATAGAATGTAGCAAATTATCCAAACAGATATTATGAATCAAAGTGTACTCTTCCAATTAAATATAGTGTATACATAGACCATTGAGAAATCAAACAGATACCTATAGGTAAGCCAGAAAATAGCCTGAGACATTACCTTTATTTTGCTAATCATTCTAAAACAGCTAAAACTAAGACTGAAATGCCTTTGAACCAATATAATTTTTTTTAATCTTGTTAAATATATAGCAGTTTAAGAATGAAAAACATACATGAAACAGACTTTTTAAAAAGTCATCTATGGCCTTTTGATGCTATAAACATTACATTAAAGGAAACGGTAATACAGACTTGGTCCTCAAAAAATAACAAAATAGATTAAATGTTCTCTGTGAGTAAAAGACTTAACAATAAATCAGTTCATATTAGCTCCAAATTAATACTGATAAGAAGTGTCCTTCAAGAAGGATTTTCTGATCTAATTGTTATTGTTAAAGTTGGTACAGGCTTAAATCAAATACCTCCAATGTGTACCCACAAACCAGGCAAAATTAGAATAGGTTTTCCCTAAAGACTTGGTAAACATTCAATTAAAACTTAACAAGTGCAAAGTGCAAGCCAGCTCCTCCTCTAACAGTTATCTCAGTATCTGAAATTTCCTTGAAGCTTTCACACAGGTTAAAACTCACTCTTCATTTTTTAAAGTAAGGTGATTGAGGTATTCCCTGGGATAAAATTAATTTTCACATTAACAATTTTCTTATCTATTGTTTCAATATTGGAAAGGGAGAGTGAGGTAATTACCATGCCATTAGGCTGATAAGCTGGATTTCAACTGCTCATGGGTGAACAAAAATTATTTTAATGATATTTTCAGTTAGGTTATGAAATTGCATCCTATTTTACAATTCATATTCTACCCTCTTGCGCAAAGCTAATATTTATTACCTTCATTTTTCTTGATGGTGAAATTCGGATTATTGACCATTTCTGGAAGAAGACTGTACAAGAAATAATGTCCATTTTTGGGATCATCCTTGTCCATGGCACTCACTGTTTGAATGACCTGTAACACAAAATTTGATGTCAACAATTCTAATGATATCAGAGGGCTCCTACTGCCTATAAAACCTCACAGACACCCCTTTTGTGGTCTGATACTTTGGCCCAAAGACTTTTTCAGCTTTCTAGATTGTCATGTATGGTTTGTGCCAAGAATAAGGAGAAAAATGTATCACTTTAAGACCGCAGCTTTGATAAGTTGATGAAAATTAAGAGGATTACCTTTTTGTCCACTTGGTGTCTGTGGCTTGAAATAGCAAAGTTAAGTGTATTTGAAAATTCCACTGGGCAATTACAGGTTTCTTTCCAATTTGAGTATTTACGGGCATCTAGAATGAGATTTGGAATTGTTACAGTGATTGCAGTGTGGCTCTTGGGAGGATCTTGGAGGTAAATGACTTAAATCTTGGATCCTAATCACTCTTCTTTTATTTTTCTCATCAGGTTTACAAATGTTTGCCAAATAGAGTGTTCCTCGGCACAAACATCACTGCAACCAACCTTTCTGATAAGTTGCATCTGTTCCTTCCCAATAATGAATACTGTCTTTAAAGCTAGTGGATAATACATGCAAACAATACTTTGGAGTGTATCCTGAGATGAATAAATTATAGGGATTAGAATTACCACTGTGCAGAGAACCGTTTGGATAGACACAGATACTTGGAATCGGTGTCTGTTGAATATGCTTGTTTCCTTTGCAAAGCTGCAGTAACTTAATGCAAGTTGTTTCTTGGGATGCCAGAGAATTGTCGTAATAATTTGTATTCATGATTCTGTGATATTATTACTTTAACGTGCAACACTGGACAAGAGTTAATGTAGTAAAAATTCTAGCTTACACTTCTATTATGATAATAGATTTGCCATAAAAAAATAGTTAACAGTGAAATGCTCTCACGTTTATTAAATTTAGAGAATGTTAATGGTGATGCCGAATATATTATATCTGTTTGAACAATTATGTTCCATTGAACTTTGCAAATTTATTAAAGAGAAAATAAAATGGATCTCTTCATTTTGAGAAAAGGTCGCCATTACTTTGTAATTTACCACTCAAACAAGTGTGAGAACCATAATTTCAGAACCTTTAGCAGGGATGGGGTTTTTTTGCATTGTATGAAGCACATGCTATATGATAGGAAATTCATGAAAGTTATTTGAGGCAAAAATGAAATAACTTTTTTCAGCTTTGAAGTTTTCATTTTTAAAATGGAACATATTCTTACTTTGTAGGTGTTTAACTTTTGTTAAGGGCCTTGTTGTCTAGTTATAATGTTTTATAACTATAATTGTACATAGCTGAGTAACAATATAACATAAAGTAGCAAAAATTATAGCTTATGGTTAAGACAATGAGGTGGTCATTAAGAGAAAGGATGCTGGAATTAAGTTGCCTCAATAAAAGTCCCATTATTACCATTGGCTCATTATGTGACTTTGAAAGAGTTACTTAACTCTCTCTGAAACTTAGTTTTCTTGTGTGTCTAAAATGCAAATGAAAAGGGTATTTTTTCTCATATGTTTGTTTCAATTATTGATTTAAATTCATATACATTTCTTGACAAAGTGATTTCTAGTAAAAGTTCAATGTTAATTATCATCATTGTTATCGTTATTGTTTTTATTAGGGTCATTGCTGTTTATTGATGACATGGCACTTTGATAAGTTTATTGATGACATGGCACTTTGATAACTCTAATGTTACCCAACCAGGAGATCAGATTAGGGAAGAATGCAATTATAGTTACTGGTTCTAAACACATAATATATTTGCTCTGACATTTTAGTGCAGAGATAGGCCAGCTCTGGGTTTCTAGTTACATAAAAATAAACATGAATTGCAGTGCCAGTGTACACGATGTAAAACATAGATAACTCTTTAGGACAGCCTGCATGTACAGATACTTAACAGAAAAATATGAGTTGAACACGTCACCTAGTAACAGCTGTGCTAGATTTTCATGTTAGAAAGTCAAGGGAATGACTATCTTTGACAAGAGCCTTGTTTCAGGCATTTACAAGGAAATGAGGGGAAAAGTTGGGTGGGAGCAGATGTAGCTACCCAATTTATCCAATCTGTCCTTAGGTGTAACTATGGAAGATGTACCATCCTTAGGTGTAACTATGGAAGATGTAACTCTTGAATTGTGTGAGTACATGTGAAAAATAAGAGAAAATGAAGAGAGGCTTTCTTGGGATTGTGTGGTAGACATCAGTCATAATTAAATGTATTCCTATAGTATACTTAGTGAGTACAGCTCCTATAATTAGCACTACTCATTCTATTTCTAAATGATTTACATGAAAAAGGATCATGTATGCTGGTGAGTGCATCTATCTACATGAGAGTTATTTGATTAGCTAAACCATCATAACTAAAACAAAAGATACAATCATTTAGCTCACCTGTAGTAAGGAAATACAACTATCTGCCATACCACTTCTACGAATTTTGCTCTAAGCCTCGCATCAGAAATGAATACATTTTTTTCCACCATTTATTTAATCCAGGAGCTCTTTAGATAAGCAATTTCTCTAGCCTCATTCTGGAACTGTTGACCTAAAGGGTCTTGGAGTGCGGCCCAGTAAGCTGTATTTTAAATAGCCTTCTGGGTGAGTTTGGTGTGCACTCAAGTCTGAGACTCACTGTTTTGAGCCAAGGAAAAAGACTCGAGTTCAGAGCTCTCTCATCATCATTCCCTAAAAGAGATTGTATTGTCAAGCTCACATTAAGCCCAGTGCGTAATGTATTGGGGAGAAAGTTGTTGAAATGGTGAATCATTACATCATCTTCGAACTATCCCATAAAGTGGCTGTGGTTGAGATTTTTGGTTAAACCATGTTTGACACTTCATTTTATTTTATTGTAGATATCCAAGGCTCTGGCATTTTATCTAAGAGTGGATGCCCAGGAGATCACTTGAAGGATGTTTTGCCATGGAAATGCATTCAAATACCCATACTAATAAGGCTGAAATTTTTATTGATGTAATAACTTCTGAATACACTTAGCATTAAACAGTAGAAGAAAAACAAGAGGAGATTTATTCAAGGAAGTGAACCTTCACAGAAGCAGATTGTATAGACATACAGAGTAAATGGCAAATGGAAATGCACGCATCATCCACTGTGAACTACCATGACCTCAGTTGATTTTTAAAAATAATTATACAATTATTTTATGGGAATAAAATAAAATATGTGGAGTAATCATAAATGTTTAAGAGTGTGCATCTAACTTTCAGGTTAAATATTTACCTTTCTACTCATAAACTTAGGACAGAACTGAAAAAATCTAATGTTTGACAATTTATTATAAAATTGATTCAATTTCAAGGGAAGCTGAAAGCAAAATACATATCTCTATCCACAGAAATAAAGCATATCTAGAATGTTGGGGTGAGGAAATGAATTCTAGAGCCATGCATGGATTTTGATGGAAGCAGACTCTATTCTATTTCTTGAGACTACAGATTTAAAATCAAATAACCTTTCTAAGGCATGAAACATTAAAAAAAAAGAGAATTGGGTATCATAACATAATTCTGACTCTTTAAAAAAAACAACTTTTCATTGCTTAGCAATAATTTTAAATCTAAATCAGATTGTTTTTAACAGAGTTTATTAAACTTTATTTTGAACTATTTTACATTCACTCAAAATATTTAGTAGCAGTGGGGAATCACTGTCATTATTAACTTTTGAAAAGGCCAACAGTCAGTAAACAAATACATTTCAGATGATCCGATCTGTTAACAGGCATAGCAGTACCATGGGATCTATTTGAACCTTTCTTATGAGTCCTGTAGATATGATTTATTGATTTGTTCTTAGATGCCAGGCCTGATAATATATGGAATTTTCCTTCCTTGCGGCTATTAGAACAATGTCTGGCACTTGGTAACTATTGAGTAAGTATTGGCTAAATGAAATAATGGATGGATGAGTAAATAAATGATGGCAAGTACAATTTTGCATCATCACAAAGCTTTACAATACATTGAGAGGTAAATATTAAGATACTTATCAGCACCCTAGTGCATAATGTCTGATCCCAGATATGTCTGATGACAAATTTCCTGTATCCCCTCCTCTCGAATATGCCAGGCTGCCTCAAACCCTTGTTGACATTCATACTTTCTGTATATGTAATTCAGTCAAACTGGGGCTTAGACCTCCAATATTTTGGAGAGAGTGTAAGGATGACTCATCTATCTTTGCTGTTTGTTTTCTTTGCTTTAGCAGGATAAAGGCTCACTATTGATTCCGACCACACAACTAAATAAACATTTAGAAGTCAGTTCTTTCAAAGTATGAATAAGGTGAAAGAAACCTATTCTGTTGCAACTTTTGGAATGTTTTCCAAGGCCTCTGGAATATACATCTATGATCTAAGAAGACTCAGCAGTGATAGCCAACATGGTATCTACCACTGAAACACATAACATTGAAGATTTTCTATTAATTCTTCCATTACTGCCAGTTTATTTCTGACTTTCCTGAAATATTAATGTCTATTTCTTGGGACAGTAGTTTTCAACTTGAGAAAGGAAAATATGATCCCTGAATGAGCTTCATATGGCTCATATTCTTCAACTTGAAAGTAAAATCATATGAAATTACTTATGTATGCACATATGAAGGGAAAGACCACAGCTTTCATCAGATTATCAGTGGTTTTCATAACTAAAGGAAACAAAACAAAGTAGGGTGAGAACCAACACCTTAAAGAGGAGTCTTTAAAAATAGCAGTAATGTGTACAAGACAAATCAAGTTATCACAATGATGGAGAAAGGAGAAAATATACGTACTTGAAAAATTATATCAAAATCTACACAATGACCCAATTATTTCAAAATTGTATAACATTAGTCAAATATAATCACAATTCACATTCATTTAAAAGATATTGCCTGGATATTTTTGATAATTTGAGTGGCAATCCAGAATCTAAGATTTTCATTTTACTACCCATTCAAAGTGTTTTTCCATGTCATCT